CACTATTTTCCTCCCTCACTTCATTCTAAGTGTCATTACATGTTTTCATATTCTTCATGTTTTCAGGAATGTTTCCTTGTTTCTTTATACCCTCTACTTTATTACTTTTCTTATTTCTGTACCTTAATTACTCCTCCATATAATGATTTGTCATATTTTCACATTTTTTACAGTTTCATCCTTCTGAAGGATTAGGTCCAGCCTTTTGGCCGCCGAGTCAATAGCCTTACCCCTTTAATGAATCAAACCCTGTTTAGCATAGGTGTCCCGCCGTGGGCAAAAATGCTTTTATCCTAGTGTTAGGCCAAAAGAGTCGTCGTACTCTGTTTTAGGGTGTCCCGCAGTGGAATCCCTAATTTAACCCTATTTTAATTTTGTTTAACATTTACAACGTAGAAACAGGAGTTTAGAGCTCCACGTAAGCATGTCCTCAAGATGTGCTTACTTCCCCATTGAAACTTTGGCCACAGTCAAGACGTTTCTAACCTCCCTTTTGAGGGGAACTGCAGTTACTCTGATTCCACTCCCGTAAGGATATGTAGGCACAAGATGCGATGTCTTGCCGAGTAAACTTAGAATTAAACCCCTTAGGTCTTTTTAACCCTTAATCTTTTGTATATACCCTAAAGCAAAATAATTAATGAAATAAATAAAAAATAAGCAAAAGGTTCTTGTAGAGTACTGCAGAAGTTTAGGGTGCTAATACCTTCCCTAAATTTAACCAACCCCTTACCTAGATCTCTCCCCATTAGGTTTTTCCTTTCTTTAACCTTTCCTTCGGATAAATCAAAGACCGGTTGTAAATGAATTAAGATTCAAGTTAATCAATAGCTTGACATCCAAATTTCACCGCAACAATATAGAAAACAAAATTGTGAGTTTTTGTCTTTGAAACACATCAATATAAAAATGGAAAGCTTTAAGTAGAATATGTTTCTTTTCCAAAACAATACATAACATGTTTAATAAAAAATGGCAAGAATCATAAATAGGATCCGACAGCTTGAAGTGAGCATTCATGGTCACATGATTTTGGTTTATCTCACACGACCTATAAGAAGGCAAACCATACACACCAGAAGAAAAAACAACATTGAGACATCACAAAAACAACAAAAATCACAGCACAAATCTTACCCACATACAAAAAAAAGGGTTAAAGAAAAAGCCACAATCAACACGAGAAGAAGGAAGTTGAACTTATCTTCACCAATCGTTGACGACGCCGAGTAACCTTTGTGTCGAAGGTGTCAAGTTCGTTGGAAGTCATTGTCATCCGCCACTACCTTACACGTTGCGAACCGCCGGCGCGTACCCATTAGGGTAATCGATCGTGCTATAAACTTGTTTAAATCTTTGAGCTTTTTGTTGTTTACAGGTTTTTGAGTTCAAAAATTTACGAAGAAGAATGGAGGAAGAGAAAGACGGAAACGAGAAGAAAGAGGAGGAAGGGTTAACAGAGGAGGGAAGAAAGAGAAGAGACGAAGAGGAGGGAAGAAAGAAGAGAATGAGAAAGAAGAAGCAGAAGGGAAGGAATAGAAAAGGAAACGAGAAGAGAGAAGAAGGGAGATGGAATCGAGAGAGATAGGGTGGGGGCGTGAGAAAATGTTTAAGGTTTCTGAATAGTTGGGAGTTTCCCCTTTTGTGTTCGTTCGGGTTTCGGTTCTGGGTCCGGTGGGTTGACCACCATTGGCCCATTGGTTTTTTGTTTTCTTTATTCTTTTTTTGGTTTTTTTTGTTTTTTTTTTTTGTGTGCATTTGGGCTTGGCCCAACTTTTTTCTTTTCTTTTTTTTTAAATAAAAAAAAACAATAATAATAATATAACAATAATAATAATATATAAAATACAATAACAAAAACAAACAAATAATAAAATAGCAAAAAATATAATAAATATAATAAAATCAACAAAAATAATTTAGATTTAAAATTTTAATAATTTTGAATTTCTAATAATTTGGATTTTAGTAATTTAGAATTTTTATTAATTTAGAGTTTTAAAAGAAATAGTTAGTTTTAATTTAATTAGTTTCTAATTTAAAACTTTCATTAATTTCCATTAATTTAATCTTGGCAAATTAAACAAAAAATACAAAATTAAAACAAATTAAAATATTTAGATGTTTTGATATTTTTTTAACCTAATTTTTTATTTAGACAATTTTACCATTATTTATTAACTTTATCATGAATTCATCGGTCCAAGTTTAACCAATTCGTAATGTCCTATATTGTTGATCTTCTGATTTACCTATTCGCATATTGTTATCTATCCGGTAGGATTTTGAGGATCATTGCTTTAACTTTCTATTACTAAGCCTATATTCCAAAAGTTTATTCTCGTTGACTGCCACGTCAATATTAGAGAATTCCAGCTCTTACCCGTTATCCTAATTTTAGGATCCGAGTCGTTGTACTCACACTTAGCGTCCCGCCGTGGACATACATTCGCTTTTTCCTTTATCCTAGCCTTAGGATCAGAGTCTCTGTACTCCACGTAGTTGTCCTGTCATGGACACCCTTTGTCCTATTCCTAGTCTTAGGATCAGGAGTCACCGTACTCCATGTAAATTCCCGCAGTGGATACTTACTCTTCCTTTTTTCAACTTAATCTCAACATTGATACAGAGTCGTCGCACTCCACATAAGTGTCTCGCTATGAACACTTACATCCCCTCTGGAACCTTGACCACAGTCAAGAAGTTCCTCACCCTCTTTGAGGGGAACTACGAATACTCTGATTTCATTCCCGTCAGGATACATAGGCACAATATGTGATTTCTTAGCGAGTATACTTAGGACTAACCCCTTAGGTCTCTCCTTCATACCCTTTAGCATACATTTAACAGATAGATTAACAAATAACGCATCTTAAACAAGAGGTTCCTGTAGAATACTACAAATGCTTAGGATGCTAACACCTTCCCTAGGTATAACCAATCCCCGAACCCTAGATCTTCCCGCATTGTGTTTACGATGCAAATTAGGTTTTTCTTTCTTTAACCTTTCCTTCGGATAAATTAAAGACCTGCTGTGAATTCAAGATTTGTGATTCAAATTAATCAATAATTTGACATTCTATTCTCACGGCAACCGAGATGTTTTATGCCAATGACATCACCAGAGTGGACGAAACATTTTACACAATACGCTGAATATTGGTCTGGTCACTTTTTGAAAAGGATGGAAGAGTTCACCAAGTTGAGTGATATTGAAAGAGAAACAAATAAAGAAGGGTCAAAGAAGGAACTGCCCATAGATTTAGGTAGTGACATATCTTTTAATGCATTTTAATTTTAATCTAATAATGTAACTCATCTTTTTGTATGTAACGCACTGCATATTGTTATAAAATTGAGTGGTATTTTTTTGACAATTTTAGTGTTTCGAAATTTTTGCACTGCATAATACTAAGGTTATGTATAAGAAGTGGTTTGGGTGAGTCCAGAGTTGCATTTTCGGATACACCTTTAAATTATTAAAAAAACAAAAAGGCGTCTATACAAATGTGCATCTCCGTAAAGCTCATTGATGATATGATAGGGTTTGAAATATCCTTATTGATCTACAAGTTTTATAAATAGGGCTTCCCGTTCCATTTTCTTTACATAAACCAGAATGACTACATATCCTGATCTTGCATTTGTATATTTCAGTGGCGCAACCCCCCTCCCCTTCAATTTCGGTTCTGCGATGACATATTTCTCGACGATTTAAAAATCAAACTGAATACTCTCTTGCGATATTCATAAAATCAAAGAGTTGTCAAGTTCGAGTACCGTTCAATTTCGATTGACAACAAATGAAAGATATGTTTCAACGTGTTTAAACTGAAGACGAATAACAATTTAAAGGTTGTGTGGTGTACCTTTTACTGTTACTCAATAAACAGTCTGATTAAAGTGGACGCAACCGTTGCAAGATCGACAGAAGATATTCTATGGATGTTGCAACGTTCTAAACCACCAGTTTTTAATTAAATGTAATGTTAAAGATAGGTTAACATTAACTTTTATCTATGTAATGTTTATTGTGAAGTTAAACTATGTTGTTTTTATATTATGTTGTCTTTACTCTGTTGTTTTTGGTTTGAAGCATCTCCAAAAATCTCATTAAAAATTGAACTAAATTATGTTATAAATATGTATGTCCGAATAAACCTTTTATGTTACAGAGATACATCTCCAAACTAATTTAAAAAAAAAAAAAAAAAAAAAAAACTAACTTCTCAACAAAATCATCTTAGATGTGTGTGAAAAAGGTGGTGCATCTTTGAACATGCAAGATGTTTTTGTCTTTTCATAGTGGTGTGGAGCACCCATAAAATTGAAAATAGCATTTCCCATTTTATTAATCCTTGTTAAGCAATACAAATTGACTTTCACTTTGGAGTTTTGAGAACATAAAAAAGTAACAAAAGGAGAAACAAAGCAGTGAACTCTGTCTTGAGGGAAATTCGGCTTACACTACTGTTGGAAACATAAGCACTTATAGTAGCTAGGGTGTTGGCTAACAATATGACTAAGCAAGGTTAGATACTAAAGTGATAACGGCCTTATATCCTCTATATCCCTCACCCTCACTATTTATACTCTTCATATTGTAGTATAAGCCAACATGTGATAAAGTAAAAGTACACCATTTGGTGAGTAATTTCTTATCATGAGGCTACCTCTATAAAGGTGAAATTAACTTATATAAAAGCAATAGATGGAACAAGTTTTCAGTTCAATAAATCTGATTACAGTAGATCCAAGAATCCATAGAATAGTTTGTTTCTAATACTGTAAGTTATTTTCTAGTTGGATCTCTGGCATCCTCTATTCCATGTACCCATACATAGCAGTACTTCAGCTTTTGTTTTGGTGTCTTTGTTAAAGCCACTTTCTACTCTGTATTCTTTTACTGCAATGTATTTCACATTTTTATTTTTTTAAACAAGTATACAATAAAAAATACAAGTATGTTTTTAATTTTCATCTTGATCAAAGTATACAACTTATCCATTAATAATAATGTAAAATAGGAAATTAAAAATTACAATGCATATGCAATCTATCCTATATAAATTGGCACCCTTTCCGTTCACCGCTCGCTCATCAAAAACAACAATGGGACTCCTCACTTGATATTTACCATCGCCCCAAATCAAAGAAGCTGAGCCAATTGATTTCTTCATTTTTCCATTTACAGTGAGTGTAAATGTTTGTTTCTCTCCCAAGGATGTGAACGATAACACGTTGGGGATCACTGAAATGTTAAATCCTTTAGGAGCGGTTACAAATGCTCTATACGTAGACTTAGGAAGCCCAACATTTGTAACAGTCCTTTTAACGTTTGCGTTCAAGTGATGTTTGGGCCGTGGGACTTTAAAAGCAAAGGAAGGATAATTTAGGTCTCTTGGTATCATATATCCAATCTCAGAGCAATTGATTATCCTCTCTGTGATTTGGAGTAACATAGCCATATTTAAACCTTGACCACATAAAAACCTAATATACTCTTCTTCATTTGCATCATATACTAAGCCAGGATTCAAAGCCTTTATTGGGTCAATTTGTCCAGCTCCATACGCAAATTCTGCGTCAGGATTCTTGTCTGGGCTCAATTGTTTGGCTGCAACATAAGAAACACAAATTTTTTATATTAGTTTAATCATAGTATATTCTTTTCCTCAAAGGTAATTTCTCAATTGTTTATAACAAATAATTTATTTAAAAAGACAACTCTATTAAAATATTAATTAAAACTAAGCATGTGCTAAGTTTATTTTTCTTGGTGTACAGTATATTGATTAAGGTGAGACACTACTCATTTCTACTACCTGTCGTCATTAGAGCTGAACGTATAGCAGCAGGAGACCATGTAGGATGAAAGGATTTTATATATGCTGCTGCACCAGAAACGTGGGGACACGACATTGATGTTCCAGACACAAAATTGAACTTCAATTTTCTTTTATCACCATGAATTTCAGAAATTGGAACAATTGGAGACCAACTGGCTAAAATGTCTACTCCAGGAGCAACTAAATCAGGCTACAACATTATACAAAAAATAGTTAACAACAAATATTATTAAAATGAAAGAATGTATTTAACGTATTATTTCATTAAGATGAACCTTTAGAATCTCAGGTGTAGCATTATTAGGACCCCTTGACGAGAAAGTGGCGACCATAGGTGCCAAAGTATCATTTGCCTCATACGTTCTAAATATAGTTGCTACCGGGTTCCTGCATATTGATTAATACAATAAACTCTAGATAAGTGTGTTTCTATAAATTATTAAGTGTATAATATATAATTTGCAATTGATACCTGGTAGAGTGTATATACTGATTTACTTTGGCGGCATCCTTCGAATGAAGGTAACATCCAGGCAAGGGATAAGAATATGCGGTATCGATAAATTTTTGACCTTGTACCAAAATACCCACAGCACCAACTCTACCGGCTTCAGAAGATTCTATACTATCTTCACATAAAAGAATTTTACCCTTCACCATCTTGATATCCAATGAGTTGGCTGAGCAATTCCTGCAATTTTAAAAATATTTCATTAAATTATTGATTTTTCAAAAGTTGTTCCCTATTCAATAATGCTTATTTTGGAGCAGAAATGGAAATATTGGCTTAAATATAGAGTATCTGTATAAAAGTATGACCTTTTTGTCTTCAATCCCTCTATAGACTGGTGAAATGATGAAAGCACAGAAAGAAAAACATGAAGATAAAATGAAGTATTTCTTGGTATATCAATTAGGGAAGATACAGCATAACAGAAAATGAAAAAGTATCTAGTAGAGTAGAGGGATAATACTAGCCTAGCCAAGTGGCTCCCAAAGGAGAATACTCTCTTTCTGATAACAGAAAACCAAGTTGATCTCTTACACTACAATATTCCCTTATATAACTAACTCCGATCCTAAGCTTGCTGCCAGCTCACCCTTCTAGATATTCTAACTGATTCACTACATTCTCACCCGCTTCCTTTGATACACTCTCCATATTTTGGGCCTGTCCACACACCCCCTCAATTGTGACTCCTTGATCATTCAGCCAACTCCATTTCTAACATAGACTGTCTTTTTAGTCTTTACAGTTTTTTATCAAATAAAAGAGCAAAAATTTAATGCAAAGATTAATAGAACGTAAAAAAAAATAAAACTCTATTATTCTTTTTCGTACTGTTAATGTTTTCATCACTTTCTAACTTAAATGATATGAAGACTAGTTACCTGGATGAATCTTTATTGAAGCCTGCTTCCTTATTTGGTGCATCACCAGCATAGATAATAGGCCACAATTCTCCCTGAAGGTCAAATGTATTCAAAGAAGTACCCTACACATTAAGCAAATTTATTGAAATAATTATTAATGTTGTCATTATCAATAGAAAGTGAACTCATTAAATATAAGTACTAACAAACTTACATACCAAATCGACTTGCCTTATATTTAAGAAAATGATACCATTGTATAACAATGTATTTTGAAGTCAAAGAAGATCAAAAAACAGTTGTTCTAAAGTAGGATAGAAAAAAAGAATGATTTACCTCATAAATTTTGTTATCTCCTAATTTGACCTTTGTAACAAATTTTCTATCCATGGTGCTTGCAGCAACACTAATGGCCCAAGGTGAAAAATTTGCTAGGGATGAACTTTTTGGACCGAAGTTCCCTGCCGCAGATACAGTTAGTATTCCCCTTTTCATTGCATGGAATGATCCAACTGAGATTGCATCCATAAAATGGATACTATCATCAGCTGACTTTCCTCCAATAGAGACGGATAATATGTCAACTCCGTCAATAACAGCGTCGTCAAACGCAGCAAGAATGTCCACATCCTGACATGAATCAGACCAACATACTTTATAAACCGCAATTCTTGCTGAGGAAGCCCCTCCTCTTGTTGTTCCATGGCCAAGGCCTAACATACTTGTCCTGCTAACAGGGTTTCCAGCCGCTGTTGATGCTGTATGCGTCCCATGCCCAGTTGTGTCTCTTGGGGATAAGATATTATTTTTCAAGAAGTCTTCTCCATAATCATTTCTATAATATCTGGCCCCAATTATTTTGCTATAAAAAATAATAACTATTAGCATTTTAACATGAATTACATAAACAAGGATTTCTAGCAAGCACGATATCGGTCTTAGTATGAAGATTAATGAACTCATACTTAAAATTTGTATTTAAATCAATTTGGTGATGTTAAAAGTATGAGTCATTTGAACTCCAAACAACCGACATCCACTTACTAGAATGACTAAACTTTTTGTGACTTTAGGAATGTGATAGCATCTTACTTGTTGCATGTAAAATCAGAAGATTGGCAAGTGCCCTTCCATTTGCTTGGTGGTGGACCATATCCTTTATCATTGAAGCTTTCTGATTCCGGCCAAATTCCAGAATCTATCACTCCAATTATGACATCATATTCATTGTATTCTCTCTCGACATATTCTGGAAATCCTATGAAATCCCAAGATCTGGTTGTCAGGAGTTGTCTCTTTTCATTTGGAAATACAGACACCACCCCATCAAGTCCTACACTTCCAATTTTCATAATTAACAAATATTCAAGTAGAAATGAAAGATAATTTGTTAGAAAAAATATTGTTTACGCACCAGCCATTCTGCGAGCTTCTTCCACAGTTAGCTTGGCAGCAAAGCCACTGAAGCTACGTTTGTATTGGTAGAGTATAGATTTTGATGTTGAATTACTAAATTAATGAATATAAAAAAGTAATAAGATAAATAGGTAAGTATACTTTTTCAACTTATTTTCTTTCTAATAAATAGGAAAAAGTTCAAAATTTTAGCAACGGGCCTAACCCTGTCAATATTGTAATTTCTAAAGCTTTAACCTTTGATATTGACCAAGATATATTTCGACAATATTATTGATAGACATGACCCTCAGAAGAAAACAAAGCACTTATTGACAGGCATGTCCATCGATAAATAATGACAATAATTTACGAAAATATATCAATAAGATTCTTTTACCCTTAATTCTCAAGGATATTGGGCCTTCAATAATGTAACTATTTTTACCCTTAATTTACGAAACCAAAGCACTTATTGACAGGCATGTCCATAGAAAAATATTTCATTATCAATGTCTTTTTGACATTATCAAAGGCTTTTGGCCTTCCCTTATGATTATTTTCTTGTAATAATAAGTAACTAAAAATTCGATGAAATAATGTACCTCTCAGAAACTTGATTTAACATATTTTGGTAAATGATCAGCGAAGACGCTTCATCGTTTACGATCTTTCCAGTGTAGACAATGTAAGTCTGCAATAGGATAAAACATATTTATCATAAATCGGAGAAATACACTTATTCGAATTAAATTAAATAATTGAAAACATGAACTATGCAAAATTTATAAAGAGAAATGAAGTGTATTTACCTTCATATTATCTTCCGAAGATGAGTAACATTTCACCAAAAGTGAAATAAGACCAAGAAGGAGAAACAAAGGGCCAAGAGAAGGTCTACTATCCATTGTCAAGCTAGCAATGGTACAGCAAAAAATGTTTAATAGTATGCATACTATTGAATCATTAAAATCTCATAATATATGCATGCAGATTCCTTTGGATAAATTTGTTTTATATCCAAAAGAGAAATTCCCACTGATCAAGAAATGAACAAAAGAGTTAATGTAATGTTTATTTAGTGTCACTGAGGTCTTAGAATTAACAATTAAGCTATTTTTTATTTTAAACTTTGGCTATTCAAAAAGAAGTTTCTTATGAATCTCGTTGCATTTCTATATCGTGAAGACTCACATAGTCGATTGTTCTAACATTGTACGTTTTTGGTCTCTAGGGCTAAGTATCTCCAGAGATCAGAGAGAGTATCATGTCCCAAGCAAAACTCATTTTTCAGATTAACATTAGAGTTAACTTTTTTTAAGAGATCATGCCCTAAATTGGGCTATGCTATATTTTATTAGTCTGAGTCATGTATCTTGTGAAAACTTTTTTTGGATAGTTCTACAATATCTCACTCACTTTGGTTTCTAGAATCAAGTCTTTGTCATAGTATTACCCACAACAATTAGGAGTTGCACAATACAGCAAACTGAGTATTCTGCAGTTCGGAGCTCATTGTGCAAAGTTAGTTACACAATACAGCAAGCTGAGTATTTATAACTCAGCTGGACTGCGCTGACTCAGCATGGTCATTTACGGGATGTTAGAGCCCTTAGGTTTAGTTTGGCTCTGCACTATAACTAGCCTAATGCTAATGTTTCTCTATTACCTAAAACTACAAGCTACAAAAATAAACATAGTAGAGAATTTAAAAGTCTTCTGCTCAATCCAATGAAAACATACTAAAATTAAAAGCAAAAATAAATAGGTTTTATTGAATAGGAGGAGTGGGCTATTTTATTGCTGGAAGTTTAGACTTAATGCTCCCTTAGGGAAAAAGAAGAAAACTTGAAAAGACACAAATTTATCACCTTTGCTACAGGAAAATGAAGAACCTTCTTAAGATAAAAAGGAGTTCTTGCAGAATTTCAAGAAATTTCTTTGTAGAGGTGGTGAAATAAGGCACAAGTTTTCTATGTTTGTGGGGAAGCTATTATATATATATTGAACGTAGCTAGTGATACTGAATTCATCTATTTATAATGTCAAATAATTTAGCTTATTAAATGGTTCGATAAAGAGAGGATCACTTGAAATGAAAAATAATGTATGCAACTTTTACTTTAGTTGTAAATAGAAAATAATAGTGAAAGTAAAATTGGAATTGCATAATCATATTTAGTAATTACAACTCAAGCTTGAATGCTTTTGATCACATTCCATGTCATATGTCTTGGTGCATTTCTATTTCTCCTAATAAATTGTTAAGTTCATCTTCATAAAAAGTTTACACTCTAATTAGAAATTATTTTAGACAATCCACTAAGAACTTTTCTATGTTTGCGGGGAAGCTATCATATATATATATATATATATATATATATATATATATATATATATATATATATATATATATATATATATATATATATATATATATATATATATATATATATATATATATATATATATATATATATATATATATATATATATATATATATATATATATATATATATATATATATATATATATATATATATATATATATATATATATTGAATTTAGCTAGTGATACTGAATTCATCTATTTATAATGTCAAATTATTTAGCTTATTAAATGGTTTGATAAAGAGAGGACCACTTGAAATGAAAAATAATGTATGCAACTTTTACTTTAGTTGTAAATAGAAAATAACAGTGAAAGTAAAATTTGAATTACATAATCATATTTAGTAATTACAACTCAGCCTGAATGCTTTTGATCACATTCCATGTCATATGTCTTGGTGCATTTCTATATCTCCTAATAAACTGTTAAATTCATCTTCATAAAAAGTTTTAACTCTAACTAGAAAACTGTTTAGACAATCCACTAAGAACTTTCATGGGACCCAGCTTCAACTAAAACTAGAGTTGAAAAAATGTTAATCAGTGGCAAAATAAAACATCTAAAGTTGATCAGTATTAAGCACAAAATCATGAAATCAAATGAAACCAAAAACCCTTGACACATGAATGAAGCCAGAACAACAACGAATTTTGGAGGCACTTGATATTATAATGCCACACTAGCAAGCTGCAGGGAAAGACAGAATAGAAATAATGGGTTGGATTGGTTCAGGGTTAACTTGCGGGAATTACAGGTGGAATTTGGTGGATTGATAGTTCATCAAGTGAATCTAATGTAAGGATAAACTGGGAGTCATAGATTGGATTGAAGGGTCACATTGTTGGCCATTTAGTAGCTAGCTATAATGGGTATATATGTACATGAAGAATGGAAGATTCACAAATAAACCAAAACACAGACCCATAGCTTCCTTGGTATTACTGGGTGATTGTAAATCCATCATTGGCTAAAGGCACGATGATAGACTGATGCCAGTACCGCTTTTTGAAAGTATGTGAAATAAGTGAACAAATAGTTAAGTCAAAAAATCTGAATGAATAAAACTACATCTATTGAAAATATAAGACATTTATTATGTAAATAAAGGATTTTTTTAGCTCAATGATTGAAGATGTGAGTTTTACTTTATGCAAGCGTGAGGGGGTGTGCTGGACTTTCCGCCTTAATTGCGGTCCGTCCCTAGTCGCCTTAATTGCGGCTCTTTGCCTTGCCTCATTGCAGCCCCTAACACCTTCATTGTGTTAGCTTTGAAGGGGTGAATTTAGTTCCACATTGCTTAGAGATATGCTTATGTTGTGTTTATAAATGGGGATAATCCTCACCTTACAAGTCGGTTTTGTAGGGATGAGTTAGACCCAACTTAAATTCTGAAAATACTAAATGCTTATTTTCCTGATATATCATCTCTTTACAAGTATTATTAACAAGAACTTAAAAACAACACAAATAAATTACTTCAAATTAAATCTCTCGAAAAGAAATTGTCTTGAATTCGACTAAGAATGCTACATAGTCATGTAAAAACGGCACTCTCTTCTGTCTTTGTTTTGTTGTTATCTCTCCTTTATAGTCTTAAATACAAGAAAAGACACATGTTTAACTAAATAGTCGTGTATTTTTTACTGAAGGAACTATTAGCAAATGTAATGACATTCTCTTTACTCCCCTATTTTTGCAATAATGAGGGTTATTCTCTCATCTCTAGATGATTATTTTTAAGGTGGAAAACTCGTTTTCGAGGTAGAGAAGTGGCGAAAAGAAAATGAAGTCATCTTGAAGCAACATCATGCCACTTTATTCAACCTATCGTTGGTTATACATGCATTTGGAAAATAATTTATTTCTCTTTAATTGTTTCCGTTTATTTTTACTTATTTTCTTTTATTTTTCATTAAGGAGAGAATTAAATTTATTAGTTGTATTCTCATTATAAAAACCAGTGTTTGCCTGAGGAATAAAATCACAGAAACTTTTACTAAAATCACAGCAACTTTTACTTATTTCTTTCAATATGGTATCAGAGCTCTGGATTAGGAATTACGGTAAAGCTTTCCACAATTAGTGGGGTTCGGAAAAACGCCGGTGACCGCGGAAATGGCGGTGGTCGTGGAGATGGCGTACGAGAGAAACCATAAGTGGTCACAAACAATGGCAGTAATGACGGCAACAATGAAGACAATAACAACATTGTTTTTGGCAGTAATGACAGCAACAACAGAAATAAGAACATTGTCTTTGGTGATAGCTATTCCAACATAGGTTGTAATGATCAAGAGGGTTTCTCGTACTCCCTCAAGGTCAATATCTCTAAAATGAATGAGAATAACTATAATGAATGGGCTCAAACCTTTCGGTTGGTGTTGGATAAAAAAGGGAAATTTGGTTTCTTTACAGGAGCAGTAGCTGAACCGGCATCAAGAGATCTTCATTACAAACAATGGAAGTCTGAAAACTCTTTGATTATTGTGTGGTTGGTAAGCTCTATAGAAACTGGAATAGGTAAGCCTTACATGTCTTTGTCTTCCGCAAAGGATGTGTGGGAAGCTGTTAAGGAAACATACTCTGATATTTAAAATTCCTCCCAAATTTTTGGTTTCAAATCAAAGTTATGGCATGCGAAACAAGGTGACAGGAGTGTAACTGTTTATTATAATGAGCGGTTGACATTATGGCAAGAGTTTGATCTCTGTTATGATGACAATTGGAGGTGTACAGAAGACAGTGTTTTGTTTCTCAATAGGCAAGAAAATGATTGTGTATTCATGTTTCTCGTTGGGCTCAATAAAGACCTTGATGAGGTAAGAGGTAGAGTTTTAGGAAAAATATCATTGTCAACTCTTCGTGAAACTTTTGCAAAACTTTTGCAGAATTAAGAAGGGAGGAGGCACGACAAGGAATTATGATGGGCAGGACACCACGAAGCTCTGAATCTGAAGGTTCAGCTCTGGCTACTAGAAACCTTGACGAGGGAAGGTCAGATAAAATTTCTTGGTGTGATCACTGCAAGCGCGAATGGCATACACATGAAACTTGTTGGAAGCTCAAAGGCAAACCTCCTAACTGGAAGAAGAAAGGTGGTTGTGCATTTCAGGGTAGTAATTCAGATCACGGGCAGCAATCCCCTACAACTCAGCTTCCACTTACTACGGAACTTGTTCTCTTCATATAGTCCATGTGCTGGTAATCAAAAAATAAAAATTGCAGATAGTTCTTTTTCAGCCATTGTAGGTAAAGGGTTAAATTGAGGACATGAGTTTTTTAAATAACTTATCTTTGTCAGTATCACAAAATTTTGAGGCTTTTACACCTGCACCAACAGAAAATTGCCATGATTCTTTATCTGATCCTACTTCTGTTATAAGTAAGGAACCTTGTGAATCCGAGCCTACATTTTCTCTAGTAGAAAACAATGAGAATCCTTAAAATAATGATAATGATGATCTAATTGAAATGCCACAAAATAATGAGTCACTTCAAGAAAATAGATTTGGATT